GCAGCCCCCTCCACCTTCTCGCCCGCCCCTGACCCCCCCCCCCCCCCGGGGGGTTGCTGCTGCCCATCACGGCAGCCCGTTCCCCCTTCCATCCGTTGTTCCGCCGCCGACATGGACGTGGCTGTCGCAAGAGGGAAGGCACAATGCTGTGCCTCGACGAGCAGCTCGCCAAATCCACTCCCTGCCGGGAGATTTTCAAAGTTCTCTAAACTACTGCTCCGTTCACCAGGCTGTTTTTAACGGCGCTGCCTTCAGCCCGCTGTTTATCAGGATGTTGGCCACGCCGAGTGAGGGAGGCGAGCTGGGGACCGGCTTCATGCAAAACACAGCGTCACCTCCCATCCCCTCTTCGGGAAAGACTCGCGTGGAAACCAGAAGTAGATGAGTTTAGTTCGGTATCAGAGAGCACACCTGAGAAAGTTTGCTGTCAGCCTCCGAGTGACTTAAGAACTAAAGTCAGATTAAGATAACTGCAAGAAAGTTAACACACAAACGTCAGGTTGGGTTACCCGGAGTGTTTGACGACCGCTTGGACAGTCGGTTTCGCTGCTCTGCACACACAGTCACCCTCATGCTGTAGCTCTGGACTGCGGCGCAAGACAGACACCCCTCAGCACCAGTCTAACGTGACAATTGCTACCCATGCCTTGCAAGAGAGCAATTAGCAGTCCTGAATTCCCCAAACAAAAAAAAAAATCAAGATCTTTTTGTTTTCTCAGATGCTGGTGTGTCTTTGACTGACTCCCTTTGAGTGACTCCTCCTCCACACTCCCCTGCTCAGAACAGTCTTTGTACGCAGCATTATTTCAGCGAGAAATGGAATTTTCTCTGCCTATTTGCAGATCGTGATAGAAAATGGGATTTAATAAGGCCACAGAAAAGATAAGACCCTTGCTTCTTCCCTCCCTCTGCCATAAGGGTTGAAAGAGCAATGCTGGAAAGAATCATGTCACCTCTGTCTACACGTAATTTTTTCCTTGTGCTAGAGGACGAGGAGAGTTAACAACAGCGATACCGTGTCAGAGCTGCAGAGGGGCTTCAAATTTGAACAAAGAATGGGAAGCCATTCCCCACTCATTCATCCCTCTACATATCAGTAGAGCATCAGTGTAATCAGAAGCAGGGCTATTTGGGAATGAAGCCCTTACCACCTTTCAGTGCAGCATTTCGGGAGAGTGGCAAGACTGGAAGTGCAGGTGAAAAGGCAGTCTGTTGCTTCCTCTAGCTTTTCATCATGGCAGCCAGCAATAAATAGCAAGAAGTCTCCTGGCTACCTCCTTCTTCACCTCAGATCTGTTGCGAGTACCTTGGCTCTTTTATTTGCCCTGGACTTCCAAACAGCAACAGAAATCATTAGACTTGCCTCAGAGAAACAGCAAAACCCAAGGCAACAAATGGAAGGCATTGTCAAAACCCCCACAATAATAGAATCATAGAATGGTTTGGATTGGAAGGGACATTAAAGATCACCTAGTTCCAACCCCCCTGCCATGGGCAGGGACACCTTCCAGGGTTGCTCAAAGCCCCACCCACCCCAGCCCTCAACACTGCCAGGGAGGGGCCATCCACAACTTCTCTGGGCAACCTGTTCCCAGCACCTTACCGCACTCATGGGGAAGATCACCCTCCTTATATTGGATCTAAATCTACCCTCTTTCAGCTTGAAGCCATTACCCATATGCCCTTGTAATAAGTTCCTCTCCAGCTTTCTTGTAGGCTTCAAGTACTGGAAGCCTGCTACAAGATCTCCCCAGAGCCTTCTCTTCTCCAGGCTGAACAACCCCAACTCTCTCAGCCTTTCCTCATAGGACAGGTGTTCCAGCCCTTGGATCATTTTTGTGGCCCTCCTCTGGACCTGCTCCAACAGGTCCATGTCTTTCCTGTGCCAAGGGCTCCAGAGCTGGATGCAGGACTCCAGGTGGGGTCTCACCAGAGCAGAGCAGAGGGACAGAATCTCCTCCCTCGACCTGCTGGCCATGCTGCTTTTCATGCAGCTGAGGATATACAACGCACACTGCCAGGTCATGTTGAGCTTTTCATCAACCAGCACCCCCAAGTTCTTCTCCTCAGAGCTGCTCTCAATCCATTCTCCACTCAGCCTGTCTTTGTGCCTGGGATTGCCCTGACCCATGTGCAGGACCTTGCACTTGGCCTTGCTGAACTTTGTGAGGTTTGCACAGGCCCACCTCTCCAGCCTGTCCAGGTCCCTCTGGATGGCATCCCTTCCCTCCAGTGTGTCGACCGCACCACACAGCTTGGAGTCGCCAGCAAACTTGCTGAGGGTGCACTCAATCCCACTGTCCATGCCGCTGACAAAGATGTTAGTGCCAGTCTCAATACCAACCCCTGAGGAACACCACTCGTCACTGGTCTCCACTTGGACATCAAGCCATTCACTGCAACTCTTTGAGTGCAACCATCCAGCCAATTCCTCATCCACCAAGTGGTCCATCTGTCAAATCCATGTCTCTCCAATTTAGAGACAAGGATGTCATAGGACAGCGTCAAATGCTTTGCTCAAGTCCAGGTAGATGACATCAGTTGCTCTTCCCTTACCCACTAAAGCTGTAACCCCATTGTAGAAGGCCACCAAACTTTTCAGGCACGATTTGCCCTTAGTGAAGCCATGTTGGCTGTCATCAATTGCCTGCTTAGTTTCCATGTGCCTTAGCATAGTTTCCAGGAGGATCTGCTCCATGATCTTGCCGGGCATAGAGGTGAGACTGTCTGGCCTGTAGTTCCCTGGGTCTTCCTTTTTACCCTTTTTAATAATGGGAGTTATGTTTCCCCTTTTCCAGTCAGTGGGAGCTTCACCATACTGCCACGACTTCTCAAATATGATGGATAGTGGCTTAGCAACTGCATCCACCAGTTCTCTTAGGACCTCGTCAGGTCCCATGGACTTGTGCATCTTCAGGTTCCTTAGATGGTCTTGAATCTGATCTTCTCCTACAGTGGGCAGTTCTTCATTCTCCCAGTCCCTGCCTTTGCTGTCTGCGACTTGGGCAGTGTGGCTGGAGCACTTGCCGGTGATGACTGAGGCAAAAAAGTGGTTGGCTACCTCAGTCTTCTCCGTATCCTGGGTAATGAGGTCTCCTGTTTCCTTACAGAGAGGGCTCACATTTTCCCCAGTCTTCCTTTTATCACTGATGTACCTATAGAAGCTCCTCTTGTTGACCTTGATGTTCCTGGCCAGATTTAATTCTACCAGGACTTTAGGTTTCCTAACCTGACTGCTTAGACAATTTCTCTGTAAACTAAAATGTAACTTTATTTGGATAGAATGCATCAGTTTCAAGCTAATAATATCCTTCAGTTAAAAATAATCTTTTTGCCATAAGATGGGCTTAAAAAAAAATAAATCTGTCATGTATTTGCTGCTCCTGCCAGCCTTCCGTGGTGGGCATTTCCTTCTCAGCTTCTTGAAGATGTTCTTTTTTTGCAGGCGAAGGACAAATTCAAGGATTGCTTGTAGAGCGCAGCCCTGAAGATCAGTTCTGCTTCCACTGGAATGAACAAAGCTTCGGTAAAAGATGGCTCGCATCTTTTTTTTGCACAGAAATTTCATAAAAATAAACTTTTCCACTTCTGTAAAACAGCTAACTGATCTTAATGAATTCAACACAAGAATTTTAAACACTGTTCATTTAACTGAATCCCTGAGGTTATCTGACACGAATCAGTTTTGTAGGGACACAAGTGCCCCGTACCTGAAGAATTTTATTTTGAGGTGTCTAGGATTAAATAAAGAGTAGAGAAGAAACTACACAGCCCCCCATTTTGTTCATTTAACACACTTTTTGTTGTAGTTTCAAGGTTCCTCCTGTTTGCGAGACTTCCATGCACGAAAGTAAGAAGAAGTAAACCTGGCTAACACAGTTGGTGGGCAGATTTCAGGGAGCAGGAGGAAGAAAGAGGTAAAAAAGAATTTCAAGCAGAATTTTTGTAGTTGCCTAGATTTTGAAGTCCTAGGCCTTCTGAAAATACTGCCAAGACATCAGATATGCTGTAAAGACTAGGTTTTTGAACCACTCCCTCACTTTGAGATTTTTTATTCTTCCAAACTTCAAACTGGACCAGGTAACCCAAGGATCCTGCTTCAACAAACCATCAGAGTTGTTATTTTTACATTAGCGGTACTGGATTTTCGTCTCTATGAAAATGACTTTCCAGTCAAGAGGTTGCTTCTTACATGGATTTGTACTTGATTTTACAGAAGAGATTCCACTTTTCTGAACAAGGGTTGGACCAAAACTCCAAGGATGATTGAGGGCAGAAGCTGGAGCAGTGAGGGATAATTTTGATTTAGTTGGTTGTAGCTGCCTATCCTAGCCAATTTTTATGGGATCAAAGTCAGTTACTTAGAAATGGCTCTGGAGGCAAAGTCCAGTACAATTTTGTTTGAAGCTACAGGAATTATTACTGCTGTTCTTTCTATATGTTTCATCTCACATTCATTTTGGGGGTAAAGAGAAATTAAAATAGTCACAGATGCATATGGTATGATACTACAACCCCATCAAAATCTGACATTTTGAATTAATTTCTCTGAACACACATTGGGGAGATTTAACTACCTTATTGAAACATTGCAAAATTTTTCATCACCAAAACCTCTTTATAATTAATCCCCAAAGGTGATATTCACTTCCGTACAGACAGCTTTGCATGGCTCTTTGTCACGTAAGTACTGCTTCGCAGAAACTGGGGGTAGAGATGAAGTGTAATTAAAACAGTCTAACCTGAACAGTCAAAACCCTGTAGTAAGCCTTTTGCAGATGCTATCTTGAAGTGAATACATCCTGAAGCAGTGAGCTCCTTCTCTCACATGACTGCAATTTGTAAACCTGGAAACTGTCGGTGTTCTTGGTAAAACAGGAAGATTTAAATGATGAATTGTGTGGTAGTTTGTGAATGAATATTGCAGAGAATAATTCATATTTGAAAGATATATCACAGCAGAAAACAGAAGGGTAAAAAAAAATGTCACTAGAGGAGATTTCACCACAAACACTAACACGATCATTTAGATGCAGGATTCAGTCAAACTGAATAAGGGTTATTTAGTAATCAGTGTGAATACTAGATTGCCAATACATACCTACTTAAACCTATTTTCAATATCCATTTTCTAACAATTTAGCACATTATAAAGAATTCAAAGATGCTCATAAGATACACCACTTTGTTTTGCAGTGTCTGATGTAGGAAAAATGTCATTTAAAGTGATGAATTTTACATGCCACTTTTCCTTTTTTTTTTCTAATTATCATTTTTTCCCCACTGATCATTGAGGACTCAATCTTAAAAAGTGCTAGGGGAGCTGGGACATAACTTCTGTGGAAAAAGCTCTGAGAAGCAAACCCTCCGGTTTTTATTCATGCTTTGAAGGCAGAATCGCTGTGGTCATTCCCAAAGGCACATTCATACAAAGTATTTAAGTTGCTCCAGAGTTGCCTGCGCAAAGCAGAGTTCGAATTCAGGAGCTGGAAAAGTACACCTATTCAAAAGCAACAGGATTCTTCAGGCTCAGCCGCATCCTTAGATTCAGACCGTGAGGAGTGGACAGCCCACACGGATAGCAGTTTTGTGAGAGTCTGGCAAGATGTGAGAGAGCGCAATCTTATCAGCTAGAATACTATGCATTTCAGAGATTTAAACCAACACGCTCTACAGCAAAATGCGGTGGCTGAATAGGTTGGCAGACTCCAAAAGAGAGGTAAGCACAGACAGCTAGGGAACGATAATTATTTTGCCACTGCAGCTGGATTTGTATGGTTTGACACATTACTGCTCCACCCACTATTTCACCTACTGCCAGCAGACACCTCCACCATTCCAAATTTGAAATACAGCCTACTCTTTCCTTTTTAGAGAAGAACAAGAACCCACAAAAGAAGAGGCGCCCCCAGCCACTGTAGTGCAGTACAGCAAGAATGCAGTGAGAGAGGGGCCATCCTGTTATCTGCTGCTTCGGTGCCTGTGGCAGCAAGTAGCACAGCCCAGGTGAAAAGATTATGCATAGTGTTTAGTCAGTTTAGACTTTGAATTTTTGTAACAACCTCAATCAGTGTGAACTTACACAAAAAAATTGTTAAAAAACAGAATTATTTTTAGAATAGCTAAATTCCTTCATGGTTAGCTGCAGACATCTGGGTTAGGGGCTCTGTGAGCCTTGAAAGTTAAACCCAAAACATTTCCTTGCATTATCAGTTCTAGTAGGGAAAATGAAGGCTCAAACTCAAATAACAACAGTTTGAGAAGTTTCCATTTCACATGCAGGTGAAAGAAGGATCTTTTTAACAGGGCAGAAAAGTCAGGCAACTTCAGGTCTATGCACTGGCTTTTGAATCACCAGGAAGAAGTAAGATCGGCAAGTGTTCCAGGCTCCTGAGCTTTTAGGCTTTTTATCTCCCCGTGCTCCTATAAAATTCAAAGTAGTTTACAAATGGTGATGTGTAAAGAGGCTATTATTTAATACCAAATATCTGACAGCTGAAGAAAGAAATGGCACTTGTTTACATCTGAAACCTCAAGGAATAGTATTTGTTGTTCAGCAACTGCATATTTCAGCAATATATGCAATGAAAAGTACTGCTGTCTCCTAATTACAGGGTCTGCTTTTGTGAATCTCATCAGTATTAGATGATATCACTATCTTTCAATGTATGTGCATAACTGTATCTATGCACAGGTTAGTAGAAAGCTAGCCAAAGTGAATTTCCAAGTGCACAATAATGTTTTTAAGCCAAAATCTGACCCTTGAATCTCAGCCTGGAGAACAGTACCAGGAAATTCATGAAGAGAAGACGCTTTTCTCAAGTAGAGAGGCAGCACTAAGGCAATCTAGTCAGCGCTATATTTGTGCCCCTGTTATTGACCTAATTCTAAGTACATGAAACATGATTATTGCGGGCAGATGACCATTTTCCATAGACATCTTTATCCCTTGCATAGGAAGGTGAAAAGATGGGAAAATGCTTCTTATTGTATATTCTAGCAGTAGTGGTCTTAAAGCTGTGAGGATCTAAATAGGTAAAACAAAGTTTGTACCTGAGTGGATGTTTTCATATCAGACCATCTAATTAGCTTAGTAAGAATCAGCCAAGCTTTCAAGAACACCAATATTCTTTGTGTCCTGTCTACTTTAACTACACTAGCTGATTTAATAGAGATGTCATTTCCATGTATCAAACTAGCCTTATTTGTAGCAAGAAAGCATTATAATAAAACTCTACAGATAATATTTACAAAATAGATGCTCTGGGTTTTACATGGGTAACTAAAACACGAATATAGCTCTCAGTTGATACCATTTTAGAAAAGATTGTGAAATTTTCATAGGTTATTTTCAGATCTTTGTTTATCGCTACTCCTTAGAGGCTTTGGGCCATGATCTCATCATGCACATGCTCTACTACACAAGAACACACATGTACGAAGGCTGCATGACGTTTAGACAAACGCCTAGAGCTAGAAAAAAAAGAAATCACGCAACTTTTATGGTGAGCCAAGCACGTATGTTCAGAGTGGAATCCAAAACGTTACTTTACAGAATGACTTCTCAAAGCAGAGCTACGTTTCAGTTCACAGTAAGGTAGGAAATATAGGGCTTTAAACAATACAGGCTTGTGAGAAGAAATCAAATGCTATTACGCAAACTACATGGAAGACACTATGGTTTTAGCTTATAAAAACAACTAGAAATATAACAACTTATGTTCAGTGGATATGATGAGGATAATATATCCTATGTTTCGGTACTAGCCTAGCAGAAAAAGGTGTGTAAGTGAAAGGAGCCAGCTTGAAATGCCAAAAAATAACAAATTAGTCTTCTATAGATTAGACTGCTGTTTTAACATGTCATTATTAGAATATTAAAATTAAATTTAGAGGGAAGGTAAAATCCCATATATACACTTAAGTGATGTCTCCATAGCACTATATATCAAATACAGCTGTTTTTTCCTTCCATTTAAACTGTTACTGTGTTCCACACAGCTGAGTAATGTCACTCACTCTCTCTAAAGTTTCCCAAGTGGCCAAGTAATTTAAGTATGCCATCACCAGAGCAACTCTGCAGCTGAAAATATACTGCTATTAAACCCAGAGAGAATAGATCACTAATTGCAGCTTAATATTAGAGATAGACATGAAATACTGAGCCAGCCATCAGAGCACGCGCTGGTAATCCAAACTCACGCTATTATTGAAAAGACAAAGAACAGTTTACTGTCTTCATGAATGACTTCTACAATTACACTACTAAATACTCTCTGAAGCTAAGCA